ACAATTTCTGTGGCCAGGTTGAGTTGAGAGTTAAAGATATTAAAGAAGTCGAGCAGCATCCAACAGGTTACGTGCTGAACCACCGCCAGTCACAGCACAGCGTAAATAGTGTTGAGTGTTTGCAATCGCATCTGCTGGACCGTTGGGCTTGGGCCACATCTATGATCAACCCACCTCAAATTTTTTACAGCCGTTAATATCTGGAATCCGTTTCTTTTGAGATGAGCAGATGTGGCCAAATGTGAGAGGTTGGTCGGTCCAACTGATGCGAATTGAATTCACGTAAACATGATATCGGGAATAACATCTTCAATGTCGTATAACTGATACTAGTTCTAGTCGAGCCAGTTCATTCATTCAATGGGCTACTATAGTAGTATTCTAGTCTTTACTCTTTTTTTTATAGAAACCAAGAGGGGCTATACAAGACGGGGGTAGCACATTTATATAAATCAGACTTACAAATACAAGCTAGAATATATGGAAGATCACTAATATTGAGACTTATTACACCCTATTGGGAAAAAAAATATTTGGTTGGAGAGCTATTCTGTTGCTTGATTAGCTTCTCGATATACATGATTGTAGACCAAGTTTTTATTTGCTCGATTCTTTAAATCCAAACACTCTTCAATGATGTTCCATAGATTCAAGGGGGGTCGATGAGTCGTTTTAGACAAAAAATCATGATCAAAGAGTCGCTTTCAATGATGATAGAATGGTTTGGGAAATTCACTACCAAGTTGTGGGCCTCCCACGCGACGCAAGCTTCCACCAAGTTGATTGTCGTAGAACCTAAGTGGTAAGCCTTGTAATCTACCACCCCACCCATGAAGTTCCTAGTTATGATTGCGACTGAGTACAACCCATTGTTTAGCCGGGATGCATCAAAATTTATTTTGATAGTACCAATTTTTGGAGTTTGCCACACAACATACTTGCACGACTTATGGGAAATGTGAATCAACTCCATTAGGCTTCAAATTGGTTTCATAGTATTCCGTAAAGGACGATAGAGCTCTTTCAGTCACCACTTGAACAGGGGTTAACACATTATTAAAGGACTTTTGGTTTCTATTTTTTGATATGTACCATAATAAGAATGCACACTTTTCTCTTTCATTATTTCCTACATTTGAATTTTTTTTACCAATTTTAAGCCACCATTCCTCCAACGAAAGGTTAATTCCTGAATGACCCTCCAAAATGGGATTTATTGCATCCCAAATTTGTTTAACAACTGTACAATTCTTAAAAATATGATCCACATCCTCATTATCTCCACAAAAATTACATTTTTCATCCACACTTAAACCTCTATTTTAAAGAAGCATTTTTGTTGGGTGTTTTTTATTAAGAAGGAGATAGAGAAAAGTTTTCAATTTTGGTGGACAGTTTACCTTCCAAACAGTCGAATTCCACTTTGGGTTCAAATCTTCATATGAATAGACAAGCTACATTTTAATTTATAACCAGACTTAATTGAGAATTTCCCATTACAGTTAAGTCTCCATACTAATTTATCTTCTTTTTGGTTTGAGGGTATAAAGATTGATTTTATTTTCCCCCAAATATTCAAAGGAACCAAACTACAAATTGTATTTTCAATCCATATACTCATATTCTCATCAATAACCTTATTAAGAAGGAGATTATCATTTTCAATTCTACCAAGAGGAATAATTTCGTCCAAGGAGGCATTGCCAACCTATGCATCTTTCCAAATCTTGATAGATTTGCGATTGTTTACTTCCCAACCTAGCCATTTTTTAAGAAGATATCTCCCCTATTCTAGTCTTTACTCTTTAGAGCAACCCTTTCCTTCCTAGTTCCTAGTTCTCAGCCCGAAATTGGGCTGGATTTGAAGGATTTGGATAGTATTTGGGCAGGAGTCCACTAGCGGTCCATAATAAAAGGGGCAAAATACAAAAACCTCCCCTAAAGTTTCTGACAATCATAAAATCCTCATCTATAGTTTAATTTTAGCAAAAACCTCCCCTTTATTTTTAAAAAATTCAACAAATACCTCCCTTCCGTCAATGACCAAGATGGAAAATGTTAAAGAGATGATAATTTTTTTTCAAAATACCTATTTTACCCTGTTACGAATTAATGTGCATATGTTTTTAATAAAATAACCCTGTTTCAGCAACTGCTCAAACACTATTCATCTTCTTCCTCACGATGCAAAGCGACAGAATGGCGGTGCATTCCACATTGTTCATCTTCTTCCCCACTGTTCATCTGAACCGTTTATAGCCCTACTCCCACATGTTGCGTCCTATGTCTATTTATATATGTATTGTTGAGTTGATTCAATTTTTCTGAAGCTCCAGTCTAGTCGTTCCAAATTCCAATTAATGATGTCGACAAAGCAGTATGGAAGGGGGATTGTCTACATGACCAACCCACGTACTCATGTCGTATAGACAGAAGATGTGGCTGAACTAAACTAATCAAATAGGGGACTCTCTAGGCTAGCCACCTGCCTAATCTAATTGTCTACAGCCGTTTCTATCCCACCTTTATATTTGTATTTCCACAAGTGACCTGAAGTATAAGCCCAGGCCCAGGATAACCTAGGCCAAAGCCCAGAAATTTTGTGAATGGGCCAAGCCAGGCTATAAGTGATCACCCCTTATTATTTTTGGTAAACAAAATGATCACCAACTAGTTGAATTGATTATTGATTATTTGATTATTCCACCCACCCCGTCCCCCACTAACTTAATTACCATTGTCTACTTCTGCTGCATGATAAGTTGGTCCTCTCCGGATGCTCAGTTTTATAATATTCTTGTTTCAGCTGGTTGGCGCGAATGGTGCAATATACAACTTTTGAAGAAGACCCTTGTTTATATTTCTTGGAAATAGGTTAAAATAAAATTTTATAAAACTTTTCAAGAAGACTCTTGTTTATATTTCTTGGAAATAGGTTAAAATAAAACATAATTTAATATTTAGGGGTTTTAATCGTTTAGTCCACCCCTAAAAATTTTAGCTCCATCCTAGGGGTGGAATGAATGTTGAATGTGGATTTGAAACTGTTCAGTCCATTCCTATAAATCTTAACTCCACCCTAGGGGTGGAATGAATCTTGACCATCTATTTATCCCCAATATTCCCTTCAGATTTCTGAGGGGGAGTACAGTCTACTTATTCATAATATTTATAAATGAGATCTTAACCTCATCTATAAGATAGATGTATACCCTATAAGGCTATAAGATGGATGTACAAGTAATGCATCTGTTTGGGTTATGGTTGAGCTGGTTGTCGGTGTCATGTGGCAGCCTCCATTGCTGTCTTATCCCTTCAGCCACGTTGGCACCATGCAAGAAGGATAAGTAAGACCAAGGAGAGTCCCGCATGGACATGGGATATAAATCCGTCGGGAAAGTGGGCTTATCCCGAATACCTCAGTGGGTAACCTCATCCGAATTGGACATGTATCTTTGGCTATAAATAAGTAACCTACGCTTAGGGTAAGGGACTTTTGACTCCTCATACTATTACTTTGCATCTTCTGCTCGAACTAGCTTTATTCTCATTTGCTTGGCCTGACCACTCACCTTTCATACCACTGACTTGAGCATTGGAGTGTCTACCCAAGGAACAACTCCTCGGGCCTCTGATATTTTTCTTGATTCTAGATAGGGCTGTTCACGGGTTGGGTTGGGTCGGTTTACTGCGGTTTTTTCAACCGACCTGACCTGGTCGGTTTGAATCGGGTTGGGTTGGTTTCGGTTCTAAGTTCATCCCTGTGATAAAATCTTGCTAATTTTAAAAACAGTCATAAATTGAACATCATTTCAGCCATCTCCTATGATAAAATTTAAATGAAAAGTTAATCACAAAAGTTGTTCATTAATGTGATTCACTAATCCAAAGTTTCTTGCAACCATTCAAAAACTAGGTGGCCTAATGGGCTTTGGAACTTCATGTTTGAACTAGGAACTAAATCGGTTCGGTTCGGATCGGTTTTGGTTTTCTTGTGCGAAAACTGAAACCAACCCGAATCATCGGTTTAGGAATTTGCACAACCCGAAACCGATCCGTGCTGATAAAAACCCGACCGACTCGAATTAGGTCGATTTGAGTTGATCGGTTTGATTGGATTGAACCTTCTTATAAACAGCCCTAATTCTAGATCTTAATATGTGGCTTCATCCTTCTACCTCGACTTTACCAATTGGTAGAATTAGGTAGAAGTACCTAATTATGATTTTGGTTAGAGACACCTCGAATCGAAAACGAGACAAAATCTATTACTCACACATATGCACCGTAAAGGCACATCCACCGTACATTAATAAAATCTCCCATGAATAATTACTTATAAATAGAGGAGATGTAACCGATGCACGGTAAGATGTGAGTGTAAAGTCGGTGTGAGGAGCAGATCCGGCCTCATGGGAGACAGAAAGACAACCACTTACCGCACATGAAAGTTGAAACAATAATGAAAAACCACAGAGCGCATTGAGTAAGCAATGAATTGTACCGTCCGTATCAGGTTCGGGCCTCGAGGCATCCTCATCTTTTACTGACCGACAGTAACATTTGGGCCATTCAATATTGGTAATTGATGGTTTACGAGGTAGTCGGTGTCTCATCACTTCAGTAACTCCAAGAGACTCCGGATCTCCTGCCAATAAGGACTCTACCCACAACACAGTAACCCCACCCCCGTGTAACTCAGGACAAAGACAAAATTAGGGGTGCGTGCAACTCTCAACTTCCGTCGGATTGAGTTGGGGAATTTTGTCAACCAGAACCTCCCTTAACCCGAGCCCAAATGTCCAATGTAAATGGAATTTTTGAGGGTAGTCGGTTCCGTTGTATTGTATCGTAGCCAGGACAAACTGGGGTCAGATTTTAAGTAGTTATAAGCTTTAAAAGACAATGTGAGCATCAATGCAGTCATTGATGATGCTCAACTACCAACCATCAATCTCCTCACATCTACGTTTCTCTATATAAACACAACCAGGGGGGTCTTTGGAAGAATCATCCAGACCCAATCCACAAGAAGATATATAGTGTGTCGAAAGAGGAAGATAGAGTTGTTAATAGTCAGTAGCCATGGTCGCTTCAGGTTCAGGAGTTGTTATGTTTGGTTGCCTGGTTCTGGCATTCATGGTGGTGGCTGCACCCAATGCGGAAGCCGCGATAACGTGTGGTATGGTTGCTACCCAGATGACCCCATGCGTCAATTACCTGCAAAACGGTGGACCGGTGCCGGCCGCTTGCTGCAACGGCGTGAAGACCCTCTATGGCGCGGCTAAGACCACGCCGGACCGTCAGACCACGTGTTCGTGCATGAAGTCCGCGGCAACTCAGGTGCCTACTATCAAAGTGGGTAACGCGGCCTCCCTCCCCGGTAAATGTGGGATCACCATACCTTACAAGATCAGCCCCACTACCGACTGCTCCAAGTACTCTCTCTCTCTCTCTCTCTGCACTGGGCACTCTGAAACACTACTAAGCACTAAGAAAGCAGTAACTCACTGCGTCATAGTCTAAGACTAAGACTTCTAGCAAGTTAGGACCTTAGCTTAGGCCATTCTATGGGTTCGAAGCTCGACCCAACTGACATTGCTTAGTTTCTCAAGCTGGGTACTGTTTGCGACCCAACCACATTTGTCGTAGCCTTGCGCCGAAACCGCGAAATCAAGGTGTTTGATATGTCTTGTTATAGCTCCATCTTGAAGGCCACTGCAAAACATTGAAGACCATGATTCTGGGTTTTAGACTTTGAGCAATAGAAATATGGTTTGGCTTTGCCTAGCATTAATGCACTTATATGTGAATCGAGTTTGTATGTATTTATTTATTCAGTATTCACTTCACTGGTTTACTAAAACATTTTGCATTTGGGTTTTGTAACGCTGCAGGGTGAAGTGAAATCGATGTGGTTGATTTGCTACGTACGAGTTAGGACTAGGAATGCAGAATAATGTGGAGATGGGATGCACCCAGCAGCAGAGACAATACTGGAGTGGCCCTTTTGAATGTGTTTACGACGTTAGATGTATGTTATGGTCCATGGTTGTTGTTGTAGTAGGATACATAATTATCTAATCTATCAAAGTCATGTCCTCATGCTACATGTGGGCTTCCTTTCAATTACTCTTTCAGCAGCTTTTGCATTAATAAAATTTCAGCTTTTACTTCCCAGTTGTTGATCAAGCATTAAATAACCATATCAGAATCTAATATATCCTTAATTTATCATGAAGCAGATGATGACTTATTAAACAAGTTTCTGTGAGGCCTAACCTATGATCAACAACATATCATCAAACCAACTTTATTTATAGATAATGTTTGACTGATCATAAATGGATCAAATTCAAACCACCTTATTAATTGGTTCAGACTCGTATTTTAAATTCGCAAAAATGTTGCAACCCTATTTAAATTTTAAACCCCAGCGATCTTTTCTGTTTAATCAATCCACGTGAATAATAACGGCTCACATAACCGCTGCTGCTATTCTTTTGGAAAATACCTAATGAGAGGGGTAACCCTGGTCACCTAAACAATTCATATTGATCCTTATTCACCCTCACCCATACTAATCCATATACCTCACCTATAGGTACAGAAATGGGTCGGACCAAAAGAACAAACTCTCTCAAGTTTACCACGTGCTATAAACGGGTTAAGTCAACCCGTATGTCCAAAACTAACATTTTTGAGAGAATCATCTCTCAAGGCCACCATGCAACAGAAACGAGTTGGCCAACCCGTATACCAAAAAATAATATTTTTGAGAGAATAATCTCTACCAAGGCTACCACGTGGAAAAAAACAGGTCGAGTCAACTTGTATACTCGAAAATGCAAAAACTATGCAGAAAAATACCAAAAACTTTGTAGAGAATGCAAAAGCTTTACAAAAGATACTAGAAAAATTGCAGAAAATGCAAAAAAAAATTGGCAGCAATATTGCAGAAAACTTAGAAAAAATACAAAACATACCAGAAATTTTGCAAAAATATAGAAAAAATACCAAAAATTGCAAAACTTTTGTAGGAAAAAATCAGAATAATGTAGAAAATACCAGAAAATTGCAGAAATGTATGAAAACACTAGAAAATGCAGAAATTATGTAGAAAAAAATGCAGGAAATCCAGAAAAATAGGGAAAAATAACTAAAAGTTGCAAAAAATGCAGAAAATAACAAAAAGTACAAAAAATTCATAACTTTTTTCAGAAAAATACTACAAATTTGAAGAAAATACATAAAATTGCAGGAAATACAAAAAAATACCAGAAAATTACAGGAAATACAAAAAATACCAGAAAATGCAGAAAATTACAAAAAACAAAGCAGCTAATAAAATAGAGTTTCAGAAAAATACCAAAAAATTGTAGAAAACAACATAAAATAGCAAAACATTGCAAAAATTATGCAGAAATGCAAAAAAAATGCATAACTTTTATAAAAAAATCAGAAAAACAAAAAAAATATAGAAAATGCATTAAAACACCAAAAAACCTGAAACATACCATAAAAACATGGCAGAAAAATGGTAGGACGAAGGCTCAACCTTTCCTCAAAAACCTTCAACCTGAATAGAATCTTTCGAATTACAAAAGCTAAGGATTAAAATCTGTATCGATTATCGGGTATTATATCGGATAACACGGATACGGATACACTTTGGAAAAGCATGAATACAGATAAAAATATGGAAACGTATGGATATGCTAGGGAAATACATGCAAATTTTATAAATACATTAATAGCACTAAATTTAAGATCAAAATAACCACAAAATATTATATAAATACATGGAAAAAGTAAATTTAATAAATGTATTACAATTAGTATATTGTGATGCGTAGCTATCATATAATTTTATTTATAATGGATCAATCAAGAGTCCAAGACACTAAATATATGCATCTATTATATCAATTATTATTTTATTTCTTTTAAATTAATAAAAAATAAACTCAAATCAAAATATGAATTAAAAAATTATAAAAATATAATCTTAACTTACAGTGTATCAATTTTGTTAAAATTTCTATGATACATATCATATACAAATTCGTAGTTTTTAATTATTAAAATAATTATTCCATTATTAATATTTTTATTTCTATAAATTTTATGAAATAAAAATCATTTTTTGAAATAAATGTAGATTAGTGCATTTGATAGATTCAATTTAATATCATATTCTTCAATACTTTTGTTTATAATATTTTTATTTTTTGTAAATAATAAATATTTTCTTATTACTTATTAATGTAAAATAAAATATTAAGATTTATATCATGTACGAATTTATAAATTTTAAGTATTAAAATAATTATTTTATTATTAATATTTTATTTGTATAATTTTTTTGATGTTAAAAATCATCTTTTTATATAAGTGTAGATTTAATAGATTATTTATTCTATTAGTTTATAAAATAATTTTTTTAATATTATTTTTTAATTTTTAGTTAAAGTTGTTAAATATAAATATTTGTTTTTTTGTTTAACTTGCATGTGAACACAAAAGCTAATAAAATCATTTGTATATCACTTTTAATCACAAAATCGCATTTGACTTGGTGGCTTGAAATGGAAGGAGAATATTAACGCACTACGTAGGCTCAAGTTTGAGTCTCAAACACATTTTTTATTGTGAGGCTTGGCAAAATCGTCGACCCAACCCATCTTGACCCTAATGAGTACTTCGACCCAACTCACCCTAACCCTTTTTCAATGACCCTAATGGGTTGTCTGACCCATATTAACCCACCAATAGAATGAATAAATTTCAAGGTGGATGAGATGAATGGATCAAATGGATTGGGGACAAGATTGCCAATCCTACTTAATAATTTATTGAGCATCATCTTCTAAATGAACATAAACCTTTAGTTGTGCTCCCAGTCCTGGATGAATTTGAATCCTTAATTATAAGCATGCACGAGCCTCAGCAGCCTTGGGGCATCAGTGGAGTAAGCCGGTAAGGAACTGCTTCTCCACGGAGAAATTGGCCTCTCATTTTCCTCTAATAAGTAATTATTCGCATCCTTGAATTCATCTTATTTATCAATATAATAATTGTTTTTTGTCAAAAGAGTATGTAATGCATTTAATGCCTATATTTAAGACGTTTTCTCTTCTTTCTACTTCTCTAAGTTTTGAGCTCCATCTGTTAAATAAATAAATAAATAAATAAAACTCCACCTTGTGGGCTTTTGATTGATAAACTTTCAAAAAAATATATATAACAAAAGATTATACCGGCTCTGTACTTCTTATGAAAAATAACTATTTCTTTTGTAAACTTTCAATAAATGTCTTTATTATTTCTTAGGATTGAGCATTAGCTGAATGTTTTAGCCGATAAAGGCATGATGCTCCACGAATATCATACTCATGTTTACTAAGCAAATCCAAACTTTAGAACTTAAAACTAATTGTTATTATAAAATACATATTTATGATTTATGATATTTATATATGCACAAGTGAATAGACATGTCAGGCTCAAGTTGGATCAAGTAGTTATCCAGGACCCGAGATCTAATCCAACCCAAAGTTAATGGCGTTCTAACCTAACCCCCTAATCCAACTCAGCTTTGGATTGGGTTCAAACCAACCCAGCCCAAGTTGCACCCTTCAAGTATTGATAAAAAAAAAAAAACTAAAAACAACAAGCTGCACCCTCTAATATACCAATAATGTATATTAATGGGGCCATGTGTAGTTCTGTTCTATTTAACTAGCATCCTCCATTTCTTACATTGAAAATAGCTTCCTCCCCTTTTAGTTTGATCTTAGAATCTTAGTGATAAGGGAAATTTGGCCCAACCTCGCAGTTATCCGACACGTGGCAGAAACAAGCAACTCGGGACAGGAGAGCGCCCGAAGCAAGCACTGAAAGCAAAGTCCAAGCTCGCTACTGAGCCCAAACTCCAGATCGCCCTACTAGGAGCCCGAGCTCCCCACCAAGGGCCCGAGCTCCCTACCAAGAGTTCGAACTCCCTACTAGGAGTCCGAGCTCCCTGTTAAGAGCCCGAGCTCCCTACTAGGAGTCCGAGCTCCCTGAAGAGCCCGAGCTCCCTACCACGAGTCCGAGCTCCCAACTGGGAGTCCGAGCTCCCTGTTAAGA